TGCCCTGAGGAGGAACGGCTGGCCGAGGCTCCTCGGCTGGAGGCCGGGTGAGGGGTCGAGTAGGGGCCGCCCAGGGGAGGCCTGGACTCGGGTCTCTTCCCCCAAAGTTCGGCGCTGCGGACACTGCCAGCCCATACCTTTCCAAGTCAGAAACTTGTAGGAAACCCCTCGGCGATTCTTATTTTTTGCTCAAGTGCAGACAGCCTTCAGCCCGAGCTGCCGCCAGGGCTGGTGGTGTCTGACCCAGCTGTGGTTTTTCCAGGCCTGAAGGCCCCGGAGTGCGCCAGCGGCATGTACAAAGAGACCGTCTACTCCGCCTTCAATCTGCTCATGCACTACCCACCCGCCTCGGGAGCGGGACAGCACCCTCAGCCGCAGCCCCCGCTGGTAAGTGACCCCAGCAGCCGGTGCCTGCTACCCCCTTGACCAGGTAGGTGAGGCATGGGCAGGAAGAGACTTTTGTGCTGGTCTTTTTTCCCATACACACCCAGTGGGATCTGACCCAAAAGGAGAACACTGCTGAAGGAAGGAGGGGCGGCCCTAGGGTACCCCTTGCCCTCTGGCTATTGGCTTTTGTCTTCCCAGCTTGCTGGCAAGCAGGTGCAGGCCCGGTCCTGGAGCCAGGTGATGCTGGGGTGGGCTCTTACCAGAGAACTTTTGAGCCAGGACCACTCCCGCTCCTGAAGGTGGTGTGCTTAGTGCCGTCTGGGCTCAGAGCTTTGCAGTTGGCCACTTTCTTTCAGGAAGCTCTGAGCTTCAAAGTGCTTAGGGGAGTGGGCAGAAAAGCTGATCCGTTCAGCACTCCTGGTTATGCAGGAGAAACATGCTCTGCTCGGCTGTGTTCTTATCGGCGTGAGTACACCCTTGCCGAAGAAAGACCCTGAATGCTGTGTGGAAAGTGCGTTCTTAGGAAGCTGGTTGGTCTCAAATGCATCAGGAAGGTGTGCAGAGGTGCTGCAAGTGAGCGGTGTCGAAAAGGGGCCAGTATATGAATCTGTGGAGTAAATCTTTGGAAGTACCCAGTGCTTTGAAAAGATTGCATGATCATTACAAACTGTGCTTTTTTGTTCATTGGTGCAGATGCCCTAAAGTGTGAGGAGCTTGTTTTGAGTGCCTTGGAGCAATACAACTGCACTTTAAAAAGTTCCTGTTCTGTTTCAGACTGTTTTCAGTTGGTCCGAGTTGGGGTGAGGGTACATGGAAGGTTTGGAGGTCTCTGGTTTGGTGCAAATGTAAGCCCAGCGCAGGTGGGGCTGGCAGACCAGTGGCTTGCATGGCTAGCAGTGGGGTCACCCAGGGTGGGAGAGGGTGACTGCTAGGCTGTTTCAGAACAGGATTGAGGAGGGTGGTTCTGAGAACTGCTTCATGATGAAGCTGGTGGGTGGTGAGGACACATACAGGCTTCTTTCCAGAAGCTCAGGGAGGAAACCTGGTGGTTGCTGCCTCTAGACATGAACTCCTCTGGACCCCCATGGACCCCCAGACTTTCTGCTCTGGGATGGGTTGGTACATGAGATGGTTCACTTCTGAGTCTGTGGGGGAGGCAGCTTGCCCCCGACCCTACTACCTGATGCAGCGCTCTGCCCAGAGAACTCTACCGTGCACGAGCAGAATCTTGACAAAGATGCTTTCTGGATCCCCTACAAGGAGTAAACCCTAGATTTGGGACCTGGTTGACATAACTCCTCACTACCAAACCAACAGCAAGTGAGTTGCTTGGCCAGGGACTGGGGTCACCATATTTACTATGATTGGACAAAAGGCCTAGGCCCAAGGCTCCACTCCAGTCCCCTGGGATTCCACAGCAGCGCAGGGAAAAGAAATCCTTTTGGAGTTCGTCTCCTGGCGTGGGCGAGTGCTGGGAGAGTGCCCAGAGCAGGGAGCGCCTCGTTCTGCTGTAAGGGTATGGATGAAGGGACCGTTTGGTGTCCTTTGGCTCACACCAGTCAAGAGTAGGCGATTGGTAGACTCTAGCAAACAGTGAGGACAGTGGGGGAGGTATGACACTACTGGCCTTGTTCTGGGCCGTTTCCTTTTCAACTCTGGTCTTGCTCGAGCTCCGGCAAATGCCTGTCTATGTCTTGCACCTCTCCTGCAGGGATGGATCCCCTTGCCGTCCTCCCCACCCAGCTGCAGCCCGCACTGTCTGGCTTTGGGGACACAGGAGGAGGAGGAAGAGGACAGGCGCTGGTCCTGACTTTCTGTGCCCTAGCCTCAGCTGCTCTGTGGGGTTAGGGACAAGGACAGAGGCGGGGGCCCATATTGGAGTGATGCTGGGTGAGGAAGATGTACGTGAATGTAGGAAGCTTCCTTTAGCAAACCTGACAGCTACCAACACATAGCAAGTAAGAGTAGTTGCCTGCATTACCTGAAGACTTATATGGCCGTTTAAAATCTGACTGGGGCCTGGCACGGTGGCTTATGCCTATAATCCCAGCACTTTGGGAGGCCGAGATGAGAGGATTGCCTGATCCCACAGGTTTGAGACCAGCCTGGGCAACTTGATGAGACCTCATTCTACAATAAATCAAAAAATTAACTGGGCATGGTGGCATGTGCCTGTAGTTCCAGCTACTTGGAAGATTGAGGTGGAAGGGTCACCTGAGCCCAACAGGTAAAGGCTGTGGTGGCTGCAAGTGTGCCACTGCATTCCAACCTGGGCGACAGAGTGAGACTCCAACTCAAAAAAAAAAAAAGTCTGGCTGGTTTCACAAAGCAAAACAGACCGACCCCATGTTTTGGGAGCACACTGATCATCTGATTCAAGGTTCATGTGCCTGAAACCAGGAATGATCCTCTTATCTTGGGTCAGGAGCCCCTGGCAAGGACCCTGAGGAAAAACTACCTTTGGAGGATTTTTCCAAAACCGGTCCTTTCCTCAAGCCCATTGTTACAGGACATACTGAACCTGCAACCCTGCCCCTGCCCACAGGCCTTAGAACTAGGCCCCTACGCCCTCTGCCTCACTGTCTCTGAGGGTATTCAAGTGGTTGACAGCTGTGCTGAGATGCTCAAGGCCAGTCACTGGACCTCCCTAGATAGCAGGGATGACCCATCCAGGCACTGCCTGTGTCTATGTGTAGGTGGGATGTCCACATGGCTCCCACACTGGGATCTCAAAACTGGCCAACTTGAATTTTGCCAGGATCAGTAGGCTAAAAGATCCCCTCGCAGCTGACTGCCACAGGATGAGAGAGAGAATTTTTTTCAAAAAGGTTGTTTCTTTCTGGTATTTGGTTTCTATTAAGCATTGTTTGAGAAAGGGGAAATGAGTTCAAAGTTTACTCCAGGACTGGTGTTTGCCAGGCATCTAATGTAGGCTTGCAGGCAGTCACTGGCCTAGACCAGTAAGCATTGCTTGTTTTTGTTTTGTTTTTTCTTCTCTGCTCTGAGACCCTGGATGAGGTGGGAATGGGGAGGGGGTTGTGAGCTGGTTCTAGGCTGGATTTGGGGGGCATTCTGTGATGAGCAAGACACCATTCCTGAGGCAAACTCAGGCTCCTGGATGCACAAGACCGTCAGTCTGGTCATACGCAAAAAAGATACAGAGCAACAGTGCTGCTCTGTGGCCCCTTCTGTGGGTTCTGCTTGGAGTCTGTGGCCTGGATGGTTGCTGAGACTTTTGTCATTTAGATGAAATATCCAGAATAGGCAAATCTGTAGAGACAGAAAATAGATTACCACTCTTCAGGGGCTGAGGGAAGAGGGGAATGAGGAGTGACTGTGAATGGGTGTGGGGTTTCTTTTTGGGGTGATGGATAGGTTCTGGAATTAGATGGTGGTAGCAGTTGTACCACTTTCTGAATATACTAAAAGCCATGGAGTTGTTCCCTTTACAGTGGTTCTTCTATGGTATATGAATTACATGAAAAACCTAAGGCTTTTGGCTGTTGCGGAGACTTGCGGGCTGTGTTTCCGTATCCCTGGGCATGTCCCAAGCTGGGGGTCAGGTGTCAGCTCCTGTGGGCAGGAGCCTCACTGAGGCAACAGACTCCCCTTCTCCAAGCTGGGTTTGAGGTCCAAGTGAGGGCTGTGGAATGAGCCAGGGGAGCAGGAGGTGAGGGTACCGGCAAGACTCAGCAGAGGAAGGAAGTGCTGCTGACGCAGGGCCAGCCTGGGGAGCTCTGCAGAGATGCATGCATGCAGGAGAGCCTGCTCGGCCTCACAGCCCCCGAGGGAGGCCAGGGGCCTCGATGGGAAGGGATAGTGATGGTGGAGCTCCAACTCTGTTGGAGTGAGGCCTGTTAGCAGAGTCTGGCACCAGGCTGGGTACCAGGTACTAGGCACCCAGGCCGGAACCAGGCTCTGCCTCTGGGAGAATCCAGCTGAGGGGAGGAGATGGATGATTAGCCCCAGACCAGGTGCTGGTCGCGTGAGTCACAGACTGTGTCCTGGGCAGAGCCTGCCCCAGCCCTGGTTGTGAAGAAGGGCCCACTAAGCAGCACCCTGAAGGAGGATCGTTTGAGGCCTGGAGTTTACGACTAGCCGGGGCAAGATAGTGAGACCACTATCTCAACAACAAAAATAAATAAGTAAATAAGTAGGGCTACAGGTGTCCCCCAATGGATGAGGACAAAGCCCAGGGACCTGCCTGGGGAGGCCAAACACATCCTGTATCTTCCTATGTCTCCACATCAGCCAGCAGCCTCAAGCCCAATCGCCGTTTCTCACCCAGATGGCAGCAACAGCCCCCTTCAAGGCCCCTCTGCCCCCACCCCAACCCCCACCCTAACACACAATCCCAGTTTCACACAGCAGCCAAAGGGGTTCTTTTAAACATTAATCAGGTCACAGCTCTGCCTGATTAAACCCTGTGGTGGCTTCCCATTGCTCCTGGAGTGAAGTCCAGACCACTCACCACAGCCTAGTGCCTGGGGGGGGCCCCTCCTGGCCACCCGTAGTCATCGCCCATCCTCGTCCTCTGTCATCAGCAGCAGCCACCTCACTGTCCTGGGGGGAGGGGGTCTCAGGACCGGCAAGTTCTTTCCCACCTCAAGACTTTTGTGTTAGTTCCCTCAGCTTGGAGTTCTCTCCCCCAGCCCCTCCTATAGTCGTCACCTTTTCATTCAGGGCTTAGTGCAGATGTCACCTCCTCAGGTGGGTGGTGACCATCCCAGTGGGACCCTCATCCCTCAGGACCTCAGCTGCCTCGTCCACCCTGGCAGCTCTTCAGGCCAGGGCAGTTAGCATTGCTGTATGACACATATCACGTTTAGACCAGAGAGAGTCTGTTTTTTTTTTTGTTTTTTTTTTGAGTTGGAGTCTCACTTTGTCACCCAGACTGGAGTGCAGTGGCCACTCCCGGCCACCGCAGCCTCGACCTGCTGGACTCCGGCAATCCTTCCACTCAGCCTTCCAAGTAGCTGGAACTACAGGTGCGTGCTACC